CATTGTTGTGGGAGTGGGAACTTCCGTGGGCCCACAAAAGAGTGTCTGACTGCTGCCACTCCTGCCGCCAGTGCAAATATGTTGAGAAGAAAAGGATCACAGGAAGATGGACTGGATGCACCGAGAGCAGGTTGCAGGCACATGGGCCGGGTTCCAGGCCCAGCGTCCAAGATTTAGGCACAGCCAGGAGGACGAAGCCAGTGGTGGAAGTGAAGGAGGTGAGGCAGGATTTTTGCACAGATGGACCTTGAGGCTGTAACAGCTGATCCCAGGGCAGAGGCCATCTGTCTGTCTGCCCTCTGCCCCGGTTTATGCATCTTGGCTAATGTGAGCAACTAGTGTCTGACCAGGTGTGTGCTGCCAACGAGGAGAGAGCTCGGCCTCCACAGGTGCTGGTGCTGGTGATGGCGGGGTCCCAGCAGAGGCAGGGGCCTCTGGAGGATGCTGCCATCGTCAGATCTGCTCAGCCAGCAAAGCCAACCCAGGCCGAAGCAGAAGCCCTGGCCGGAAGGAGGGATCCTTTGCTATGATGCCAGTGTCCCTTAAGCTACCTGGTGGCAGTTCCCCTTAACACCAGGTGCCAGGCACAGGAGGCCCTTGGGTATGAGAATAAACAAGTGAATGCAGACTCTCAGAACACTGCTTGACATCCACCAGGCCTTTTATCAGGCTTAGCGTTGAAGAAGGGGAAGAGTTTCCTAAGCTGCTATCATCAGGAACGCCGCTCTCAGAGCTGTGTTACTAGAAAGGGTTCCATGGGAAATATTGGGTGAAACAAAGTTAAGTGGTCTCTTTATTTTGGGTCTTCTCAGAGTCTAAGCTGTGCAAAAATACTTAGACGCTGAATATTTAGGAGGGGGACATAGCGTGCAGCATTTCCTGAGCTTATTTACCCCTGGAGACCCTCGTCTGAGAGATTTCTATCCATGTCTCACGGGGCTAGTGTTCCGCAGAACCCAGCTGTAGAGCATGCCCTTCAGAGGTGCCCGCGCTGCCCACCACTGTGCTGCAGTGCAAACTCTCTGCTGTCTGGTCCCTCTAAAGTCTCTGCACATTACTGCCTCCACCCACTGCGTAGGCTGGACCTACCCCAGAAATGCCCTTTTTCTACTCTCTGCCTTCGCAAATGCCATCCAGCCCAAGTCCCACCCACTCCACAAAGGCTTTCACAGCTCCCCCAAAGGGACTTCATCACTTGCTGCTTCAAGCGTCCTGCACCGCAGCGGATGGCATCTTATTTCTTTGTGTTCTCCACAGCATGGCCCAGGCCCAGGCAGGTGGTGCTCCAAGAGAGCTCAGTTTGGGCCGTGGCCCGTGGATGGCCATGTGGGCTGACAACCCCCTGTCTGCAGGTGTGAGATGCACACTTCCTGGGCACGTTCTCTTCCCTTTATCCCCCCTGCCCGGCCCATCAGGGGCAAAACAGCCATGGTCCCCAAGAAGGAAAGGAAATTTCCACCTCTGCAACTTCGCTGCTCCTTAATATGTAGGGAGCTGGACCAGAGGGAAGGGAACCGGGGATCTATTTACATGGACTCTTCCCCTAAAGTGAAACCCGGGGCATTTTCTTATTTAACTATTAATGCCTTAAATCAGATGGTGCCCAATGTGTTAACCTCTGTCACTCCGAATGGAGTTGGCCTAATAACCACTGCAGCAGGATCGATTTTCCCTCAGTCAGCTCATAAGCATATGTCTTTGGGATCTGTCCTCAGAGAGATCCTGGGAAAGTCCCATTAAAGTTAATGGGGATGAGTTGCCCCCACGTGGTGATGGCGCCTTTCTTCACTATGCCTGAGTGAAGTGTGGGAAACAATCCTCCCTCCCTCCCTCTTCCTCCCTCCCTCTCTCCCCCCCCTCTTTTTCTTTTCTTTTTCCTTTCCTTTGCTTTGCTTTCTTTTCTTTCCAGCTGGGGTCTCACTCTCTTGCTCAGTCTGGAGTGCAGTGGTGCAGTCACGGCTCACCGCAGTCTTGAACTCCTGGGATCAAGTGATCCTTCCACCTTGGCCTCCCAAAGCAGTGAGATTACAGATGTGAGCCACTGAGCCCTGCCAGAAATACTTTTTCTAAAATCAGTTCCTGAAAGGGCAGCCTAGGACTCGACCTCACCTTTAGGGGGCCTCCAATCACATTGGAAAGATAAAATAAACATGCTGGAAAGATGTCAGTGCAAGATGCGAAGTGGTCTTGCTGGACTGCGTGGCCCTGGATATCAGTGACATGCATGTGGCATGCCTGGAACGCAGTAGGTGCCAAGGCCTGCATTGGGTGAGGGGGCTGGGGACCTGCCCTGCACCTTGAGTGGATGATATTTACATATGCACGGTTAAGGATGAAGGGCATTTGGGGGATGAGGAGCGGGGTGAGCGAGGCTGGGAGGGGACAATGAGCAGGAAAGAAGTCCAGCCTAACCCAGGGAAGGAGGGATGCAAGATAAGATTGCATATTTCAGATTGGGCCAGGTGTAGGGAAGAAAGCGGAGAGATTAGAGGAGTCCTGTCTTCCACTCTACAGGCTGGGCATCCTTCCTGCCCTGCCCATCGCCACAGAGGCAGACTTGGCCTCAGATAGGGATCTTTCTGTTCAGAGCTGGGGTGTGAATCCCGGGAAGCCCTCTGCTCTGCAAATTTGGCCATGCTCACTCTAAGGGAGTGAGGAGCGTGGAAGTCGGGTCTCAGACTATCAGTCTAAATTAGCCTAAATGCCAGCCAGATGGCTACTTTCTTGTGCTCCCCCAGTCCATCCATTTCCGCTTCCCGTTGCACATCAAAACCTCCAACACCCTCTCTGTGCCCTGGTTTCCATGTAAGTGGAAGTCAGGTAAACTGTCCTGTCTAGACCTGACTCAGAGAGAAAGAGGTTTTCATGAGGATTTTAAAATCTCACAGATTACAGCAACGATCCAAGTTACCTCTTTCTCCCATCACGGAGGTCAAAAGGGACCAGAGGAACAATCTTCTCCTGTCCAGGTGGACTCATCTTTTGATACTCTTGGTGCAGTAAGTTTGAAGATGCTGTCAGGAGGTTCACTCGGGAGAATGCTGGAGATTATAGGAGCTGCCCAAGTAATGAGTCCAGGCCACAGAGAGAACCCAGACAAGGCAAGACATTCTCTACAGCTGGCATCAACTCCATGCCTTCTAGAGCTCTGTGTTCCATTGTTTATTTCTTTATTTGATGCCCGATTAGCCCACACCCCACTTGGAAGAAGATGCTTTTTCCACTTTTGACTCTCCGCATAACTCAGTGCCATGTCTTGGGCAGGCTCTTTCTCTGCTCTAGGTTGAATCTCCCAGAGGAGAAGGGATTGAAGTCATGGCTGCGCTCCCCTGCATCGCTGGTGTTGCACAGACTCCAGTTTGTGTGGAGGCTTCTGAGGTGCCAACTGGGTCACTGGGGACGGGGGAGCGGACTGCGGGGAGTGGGTGGGGGAGCTCCGAGCGTCTGCGCTTTGCCTGCTCCTGGACTCCGCACATTGAGCAGAAACACCGGAATTGCTCCCCTTCTTCTGATTTTCATTTGAAATCTGGCTAAATCTGCATTTTAGTCGGCTGATTTCCAGATCTCAAACAGAAACACCTCATTAATCATTAATTTAGACCCCCCACGGTTGTACAGAATTTGTGACAATCTGTTTATCTTTGAAGGAGCTGCTGAGAAAGTTTAATAAGGAAATTATTGTGGAGGGGAGGAGAGTATTTAACCTTTCAGAAGAAAGGCACTCCATTTAGCTTCCCTGTGGGTACAAATGGGGGGGGGGTGTGAAATACCTGCCGGCTTTTATCTGTTCTCCTAAGCAGGGAGATCTCTTCCTCATCTGCGAACTCAGGGCCAGTGGGATGGATCCCCAACCATTTCAAGCCTGTGACCCCTTTCCAATGTCAAAATATTTTCTGTAACACCCGCACCCCCAGTTATTAGAAGCTGCAATTTTTAGTGTTGCTGATTAAGAAGAAAAGCGACTCTGAATTCAGTAAAGCTTTTAAATAAATCACGATAGCATCTATGTACACATGAAAAATAGTTCTGTCTTTCTGAGTCACAGCATTCATTCAGTCTACAGATGATATTTGGGTGCATGTGAATTCCAGCTCCTCTGCGCCCCTCAAGGTCAGCGACCCACCAGGTTGCAAGCATTGGACTAGAAGTTCTCTGAGCAGGAGGACCACGGAGTCCTGGAGTGCCAGGACAGGAAGGAACCTCAGGAGGCATTTCAGCCACTCCCACCCGAAAGGTTGTCTGCCCTCTGTGCAGAACCCCTTGTCGGGGACCCCTAGTTTAGTGAAGCAAGGGAGTTGGCATCCCACGTAAACACATACCTGCCATAGGTTCTGACTTCAGGGGCCTGGATCAAAGCCTGCAAACTGATTCCTTAAGGTCCCTTACCAGGTGGTCTAAGACACATGATGACTACGTCACTCTGGGCAGAAGTAGCTGATATCCCATAGGAGACAGAAGAGGCAAGGTCCAATCTTGTGGGCCCAGAGCTCAGGGTTTTCTTGGCTCATTTGTCCCCAGGTCCACATAAGACATCTTTTTTCTCTTTCTTCTTGCCAGGAAGGAGTAGGGAAAGGAAGCAGATGGGCAAAGAATGTCAATGACGAGGGAAAAGGGAACAGGGAGGACATTCCCTTTAAAGCAGTTCAGATCTGGGGTCCTTGGGTCCAAGGATGGGCCTGGGGGCCTGAGCACACCCTGCAATTATAGCCAATTTTGCACCCGTGGGCATTTTTCTGGGGAGAGCATCTATACCTTTCACTGGATTCTCAGAGCAGTCCCTGAGCCAAAAACACATCCAGAGCCTCTGACCTGGAATCTGGACTTTTCCCTAACTCAGGCTTCCCACTCTCCTGTTACTCAGAACTGGTGAACTGTTAGGGTGTTAGTCAAAGCCTGCAACGTGAACTATCAGATGCTCGTTACCCACAAGATGGGAAACTAAGTAGACGCCAGGAACATGGTCTGATCACAGACATAGCCTCCTTTGTTCTCCCGTGCAGGGCCCAGGATGGCGCTCTCCCTGACGGGGCTCGTGGCCTTCTCCTTCCTGCAAGCCACCCTTGCCCTGAATCCTGAGGACCCCAACGTGTGCAGCCACTGGGAAAGGTAAGGCACGGGCCTCAGATGGCCAGGCACCCTCTAGGGGATTGCCCTGGGTATGGCACTAAGGGACACAGGCAGTCAGGAGATAGGGAGCTGGCCTCGAAGGGTCTGCAGCCTGGCTGGGGAGACAGCCCAGATGCTGAGAGACAGAACAGAGAGCAGTGTCGATTCTGGAAGGTCAGGGTGGAGGCAACTTACATTCACCGCAGCTACGGTGTGCCATCCTACCCCTCCCGGCACTGGCACTTCCCAGCCACTGCACAGATGAGAAAGTAGAGACCCAGAGGGGCTCACCCTGTCCACAGCCAGATGGGGTGCAGAAAGTGAGGGGGATACGGACCGTGGCCTCATGTGGCATGCTCTCTGAGGCTGTGATGCCTTTCCGGGTCTCCACTGGCAGCCACGTGGCAGCTTGGATGTATGGCCCCAGCAGCTTGCCCTGAGGAGGACAGGTGACGGGGTCCTACTATTTCTGGTCTGGTGGGGGTAGGGTATTGCCGGGGAAGGGAGGCCAAGGCTGCAGCAGAGGAGCACGCTGCATTCCAGCTGTGGCACTAAGTCCTGGGAGAACGGGCCAGGTCCCTGCAGACGGCCTGACTTTGAAGCACAAGGTTAAAGTATTGATTTTGGTGAGCAGAAAGACAGTGACCAGAGACCCAATCAGGAAAAACCGAATTAAACCCTGGAATTGATTGGCCATGCTGACCAGGATGACTCTGCCACTTAGATGTTAATAAATCAAATGAATAAAATTAAGATGAGGGCTCTAGGGGAGAAGGGAATGGTAGAGGAAGAAGGGCGGTGGGGTTTGGGGGGTGTCCATGCTTCATGCCCATGAGGGTGGACAGCCCAGCCCCGGGGCAGGGAAAGGCACCTCAGCCAGGCAGGATGTAGCTCTGGGGTAGTCTGGACACTTGTGGGTCAGGAGGGATTAGCTGGGGGACAGAGGGACAGTGTCTGCACTGGCGTGATCCCCGGGGACCAGACCCTGTATGTAGCGTCCCAACAAAGTTGAGGATGGAGCAAAAGGCAGTACTGTGGTGTGCCCCTTTTTGGTGAATTGAGAAGAAAATAAGATCCATGATGAGAAGACCTCAGTTCATTCATCTGGATTTTTCCACCTGCAAGCTGTGTGACTCTGGGGAAGTCTCCGAAAGGCTCTGAGCCTGCTTCCACCTCTGTAAAGTGGGGAGAATCATTACCCTTGCCTCACAGGCTCGACGGAGGATCAAGCGCAGCAGTCTCATGAAAGTGCTTTGAAGACCATGCTTGTCAGCTGCTGTCTTTTCTTGTTGACAACTCTGGCTTTTCAGAACTGGTTATTATGGACTTTAGTACATGGCAGACCCATGGGAGGTGCATATGAAAAAGTCTCCTGGGGCCTGTCTCCAGAGATGCTGCTGACTCAGTATTGCAGTTTTCATAAACTTTTGTTTCTTTTCTTTCTTTCTTTCTTTTTTTTTTTTTGAGGGAGAGTCTTGCTCTGTCACCCAGGCTGGAGTGCAATGGCACAATCTCAGCTCACTACAACCTCCACCTCCTTGGTTCAATGATTCTCCTGTCTCAGCCTTCCGAGTAGCTGGGATTACAGGCGCCTGCCACCACACCCAGCTAATTTTTGTATTTTTAGTAGAGTCAGGTTTCACTGTGTTGGTCAGGCTGGTCTCGGACCTTCTGATCCGCCTGCCCTGGCCTCCCAAAGTGCTGGAATTACAAGTGTGAGCCACTGTGCCCGGCATTTTTCATAAGCTTTCTACGTGATTCTGAGGTTACTCAGGCCGCTTGCCTGTTCTGGCTTTGGTGAATTTAAACCTTTATTTCCCAGTGGGTCAGAGAGGCATCCGGAAGAGCCCCACGTTATTCTGTGGGCTTGGACTGCAGCCTCAGGAGACCCCTTTCATCTGTCTGGTCCGGTTAAGACACAGCTGCTTCCTGCTACTGTCTGTGTGGCATCGCAGCCTCTAGAGTGCCTCCTTTCCAGCTGCCCACCTCTGCCTGCCCCGGTGGCTCTATCCGGAAGCCCCTCTTCTCCAGGGAGCCTCCCCCACAGGCAGAGCCCCCTCTGCCTTCCCTCTTTCTCTGAGTCCCATTGGTACTCACTCATTTTCTATACCCGTCCAACATGGATACATTTGGAATGTGAAAATAGTCTGAAGTGAGCTGAACTGAGCTGGCATTCTAGGTTTCTTAGGCTATCAGCCAAGGTTACAGCCTGGAAGGGAAGACAAGGAGTGAAACCCTAAGGTCTGGGGACTCTCTGGGCCTCGCCGGCCCCAAGCAGGAAGTCTTGTGGGTGATGCCTGGTGTCACCAGGGTGCTTTCTGCTCCATCGTTTCAGCTGAGCTCCATTGTAAGTTGTATGTGGATGGATCTAGTCTGTGTTGTTACAGAAACCCCCGCCCCTGGAGACCGCTTAGGGAGAATTTCCCAGCTGGCTTAGTGCTTCTGGCGGCTCCTCATTAATTATGCCCCTCCACCATAAAACCCAGTGTAAAGACCTCTCCCGGCTGGTAAAGCCTGGCTCTCCAAGATTAATTTGGCCCCTCATTAGCATGTTGGCAAATGAGCCGTGTTAAACCACCGAGCCATGACACCGGGGGCACACACTTCGGGTCAGAGAATTTGGAGCTGGTACAAGGCCTTGTTGTCAGACTCGTTCAGCCCAGGGCGTCTGCAGAGCCCGGCCCCTGCCCCGGGACTGCCCCTCCAGCAGTTCTGCTGGGCTTCTCTCTGGCCTCCCTGGTCCATGTCAGGACTGAAAAGGGAGGCTGGACCCCCAAGTGCTTAGCAAAGGTGGGGAGTCCATTCTGTGCACTGGTCTTGCCCCCTATCTCTCCCCAACCTTGGTCAGGGAGGAAAGATTCCTCAGCGCCTAGCACGGGAGGTGAACCATTGCCTGTCAGCATTTATTAAACACTTACTGTTTAAGCATGTTGCATGCATAGTTTGTTTTATTTTCCCACTGCCCTGAGAGAGAGAATATTACTGCCTTCCTTTAATCCTCACAATAACCACACAACCTGGTTAGATTTACAGGTGAGGAAACAGAGCCTTCTATGAGTCAAATAACAGGGCATGGCGCTGACAGGCAACAGGTTTCAAACTCGCCCTTCCCGCTGCCCCGTGTTTGGACTCCAGGCCCCATGCTCGCTTCCCATTCATCCTCTTGCTCTAAGTGAGGTATTCAGGAAATGTATTGGAGCAAAGAATCATATGATCCCAGAGTTGGAAGAGGACTTTGGGTGGCTGGGCTGAGTGTCAAGTTGCCTCAGTTTCCCCAAGCCTGGAGCTGAAACAGGCATTTGGGCTGTTTTTTCCTAGATGTGTGCCAGCTGGTAGGGGCACACCGAGAGCCCTCCTTAGATCCCCAGTGCTTCAGAGAAACAGAATTTCCCACTGCCCAGGCCTCTGAACATTACCGACTGCTTCTGGCCTCCTCCTTCTGGATTCCAGACCTTTGACCTTTCAGGCATCAGAGAGCCTGCTGCGGACCCACTTGGGGAGCTGGCCTGTCCAGACCCCTTGCAAGTTAACCAAGACAGTTTCCTCAGGCAAGGCAGACATACTTTTACAGCCTGGACCCGGCCATCTGGCCCAGGTCAGTGAGCCTTCTGGGGAAAACACTGAATAATACCAACCTACATAGAAATTAATTCCTTAGATCTCATGAGTCCTCACTTCAGCATCCTGGCTTGAATGTCATTTCATGCAACCCCTGCCAGGGGCCAGCAGGTAGAAAGGCTTATTTTGGTTAAGCTGAGATCTGTTTCCCTGTGGCTTCCACCTGCTGGTCCAGGTTTACAGCTAACAGGCAGGATGACAAGAAACCACTTCTGTCAGGGACATATCCTCAATGTACCCCCAGCTATACTAGAGGCAGAATAGGCTAGAACGTAACAGGGGAGCTTGTGGAAGCCACTTCTGCCCTCTGATGCTCCATTTCCTGATCTGTGAAGTGAGAACAATTCCACCTGCCTAAGATTTCACAGATTAAAATGGATTAAAAGGCTTGACATGGGGTGCTCAGTAAATGTTAGCAGTTATTGCTACGGCAGTGTGAGCTGGTAAGCCACTTCTCTCTGAGCCTTAGTTTCTTCCTCTGTACAATGGGGCCACTTACTTCGTGGAGTTGCTGCAAAGACCAGTTTCCAAGCAGGTTCTTTGAAAATCATAAAGATAGGAAGAAACATATAAAGTATTTTTAAACTTGATGGCTCTGCCTTCCAGAGGCACACAGAACAAAACTACCCTCCCTGCTTTATTCGCTCTCTGTTAAATGAACAAATGAACTAAAATTTTAGAAAATGATCTGGGCCAAATGTCAGCAAGGGATGTTTCCTGGGGCCATCCTGGGGTCGGGGAGGCTAGAATGCGAGGGCATTCAGGACAGGAGGGGATAGTTGGGAGCAGGGAGGTTAGAACCTCCGGACGCTTGGCTGTGGAGCTTGGCCTCGGGGCTGTGGGCTCAGGTGCCCTGCGGAATATCAGCTCAGCTTCCCAAGTGCTAATCATAGCTCTCGTCTCCCGTCTGGTTCTCAGCTACGCTGTGACTGTCCAGGAATCGTATGCACACCCCTTCGATCAGATCTATTACACACGATGCACAGACATCCTCAACTGGTTCAAGTGCACCAGGCACCGGTGAGTACCTCTCTCAGATGACGGGGCTCTCAGGGCTTGCCTCTGTGCAAGTTAGAAAAAGGCCTCTGGAGCAGATGTGGTCATGCGCCTCCACTGAACACGCGAGACGCTTTGCCGATGGCTTCTTTCTGGCTGAAAGAGCTTGTGGGTAGGACAGGCCAGAAGTGCTGAAGTTAACGTTCTTGAGGGCATCCCTCTACAGGGATGGGGAGATGGGGAGTTGGTGGGTAACTACCCCAACTTCCTCATTCTTGGGGTGGTAGGAACATCTCTTAGTCATGGTCTACATGTATCCTGGAAGTCTCCAGGGATGGAACCCCAGTTGCCCATAGAAGTAATCTGCTCAGTAATATACCGTATATGGGCTGCCTTTACTTCTCTGTCTCACTTTTCCACCCACCTACCAATGCTTCCTAGGATTGCCTCCAAAATAAACTACTTATTCTTGAAGCCTCTCAGGGTTATATAAGCCTTTTCTCAGGGTCTGCCTTTAGGGGAAAACCAAACCTAAGACAGCCTCCTGAGCAAAGGTAGCCCCATATCAAGGCATCCAGCTTGAAGAACAGAATGCAGGCTAGAATCCAGCAACCTCTCAGCACCTTGGTCAGACTTCCCTTAGCAGTGGCTCACCATGGACAACTGCACATGGCAGTCCAACACCCTTGTCTGCAGCCCTCGTGCAGATCATGCCATGTTATCATGTCACTAAGGGAAAGGCAAGAGGAAGGAAGAAAGAACATGCTTTAAGGGGTGACCCTGGGAAAGACACTTTATTTTGGGATTCCCTAATAATCCTTATTCTACCTACCCTGCAGTGTCCAGGAAGTTCAGGAATGTGAAATTTACTTTGAAAAACGCAGGGGAAAGTGGAGGAAAGTGTGAGATATTAGCCACATGTGAAGTGACGGTATCTGAAGGGTAAGAGGCCAGCTGTTGAAAGGTGAATAATGGAATAAGGGAGAGACCCCATGGTGGGTCCTTTTCCTAGTTGCTGAATATCTGTTGACTCCATATTTTTTCCTTTGCTTTCTCCTATGAGCCCAGTTCCTCTTTGGGAATGATTCAGGGGTCATGCTGGGCAGCCACATGGATGAGAAAATTTGTTCGGTGCTGAGATGCCACAGTCCTGGTTTTCTTTGGGGTTTTACTGCTAACTGGCTGTGGGACCTTGAGAAGAGCTATACTTGCTACTTTAAAATCCTTGTCTGCTAATTACAACATCTGGGTTATCTCAGGGTTGGTCTTCATTGATTGCTTTTTCTTTTCTTTTCTTTTTTTTTTTTTTGAGACAGCATCTTGCTCTGTTGCCCAGGCTGGAGTGCAGTGGCGTGATCTCGGCTCACTGCAACCTCTGACTCCGGGGTTCAAACAATTCTCCTACCTCAGCCTCCCAAGTAGCTGGGACTACAGACTCGTGCCACCACACCCAGCTGATTTTTTTTTTTTGTATTTTTAGTGGAGGCGGGGTTTCACCATGTTGGTCAGGATGGTCTTGATCTCTTGACTTTGTGATCCATCTGCCTCAGCCTCCCAAAGTGCTAGGATTACAGGCGTAAGCCACCATGCCCAATCATTGGTTGCTTTTTCTCCTGTATGGGTAGTGTGTTTCTTTATATGCCCAGTAATTTTGGATTGTATTCTGAGCCTTATGAATGACATGTTGTAGAGACCGGATTCTGCTGTGTTCCTCCGGAGAATATTGATTTGTTGTTGTTTTGTTTGTCTTAGCGGCCTGGTTACCTGGCTAAACACAAATTCCAAACTCTGAAAGTTTAATATTTTGAGGCTTGACTAGGCTTCTTGGAATCTGCCCTCCATAAGCATAAATCAGTGGCCAGACACTTGGGCAGGGATTTTACAAAGATTGTGGGGTTCCCTCTTCATGGCTCTTGCCTTTCTAAAATTTCCCTTTTCACTTGCCGCCTGCTGGGTCCACCTTGGACTTGTCCTGTGGTTCTTCAAAGAAGCAAGGTTGTGTGTGGCTATCTGCATCTTAATTGCCCGGAGTACTGTTGCACTAACTTACCCAGCGCCATTCCCTTCTCTAAATGTCCACTTGCCTCCAATCTCTGCCTGCTTTTGTCCTCCCTCGAGGGCCTTCAGGTAGTTATTTTGTAAATTTCCCCTAGATTTTATAGTTGCTATTTGCAGAAAGGTGGTCCGACAGGAGCGACTCAGCCATTACTGCATCCCCTTCCTCTAGCATTTGGCTGTGGAATGGGGGTGGGACTAAATGCTCTCTCCCTCCCTCCACCGCTAATTTTGCCAGAGTTGGCTGCTTGTGGCCCTGGTCAAAGGCAGAGGCAGAGATAGTAGTGCTGTTCCTCCCAGAGTCCCGGCAAGCCGGGTATGAGAGCCAAGTTTGCTCTGAGGTGTGGCTCTTTTGGGTACTTGGAAGCTAGGCCTGCCATTCATCACCACTGGGGTGGTAGCTGCTTATTAAAACAGGCTGTAATCCTAGAACATGAATTATTTTGCTAAATTATTGAGTTGCCTTGCAGCTTTCCTGATGACCTAGAGTGTGTATGCTAACAGCTGCACCATCCGTCTGCTTTGGTATGGAATGGCATGTTCTAACTCAGCATCCTTCCCCTGAGAGCAGCCTGGCACCTGGCCTTGCTTCCCTCTCTTGCTTCCCAACCTGCACAGGAACAAACAGGGATGGGGGAGCCAGAAACGATGGGTGGCAACTCTCCCCTGAGGGGCTTCGATGATGCCTCGGCCACCCCCCACTGTGGGGCTTCCGGATAATCCCATTTGGTGGGGAGAACCGGCTGGATGACCTCTAAGTCGACTCTGAGTCATTCTTTACCTGAGAGGCTTATATAACCCCTGAAACTGCCGGGAGCTGCCTTCAGTGCTGGGGAAGTAGCTTTACTCTGAGGCTAGCTTTCCTTCCAGTACGGGTTTTTGACAAAGTTGAATGACCTTAGCTTACGACATTCCCAAATATCACCGGTTTCTCCAGAGTTCTGCACTGTCATTTGTCACGAAGTGAGGGCTTTAAGGCATGGGAGGGTTGTCCCAGCCTGTACTATAGGACTCTCTCCCCAAGCTGGGCTGGCCCTCCGTGGGACTCAGGCTGTAGGCATCTCTGATGACCAGACCCTGCTGCTGAGCTGCTGAGGAAGAGACAACAGGGCAAGCTCCCCTTGGGTGCTGATGGATAAGCGGAAGGAGGCCTGGCTTCAAGGCCCGGAGACTTGGGGTTGGGTCCAAGTGACAGTCCATGACCTTGGGCAGGTCTCGTCCTCTCTCTGATCTCTAGCGGCTGCTTCAAATCTCTCCCACTTTGATTCTCCATGTGAAGAAGGGGCTTTGCCTATGAATGCCCCATTTTGATTTCCTTCTAAGGACTCAGTATTTCTTGTTGCTTACTCCTTCACTGTGGCCATCTCTGAGGTCAGAAACTACACTGTGAAACCTGATAGAGGGCAGGTTTTGAAACTGGAGTGAGCTAGGCTTGAATCCTGGCTCTGCGGCTGTGCGGGTCATTAACTTCACTAACTTTAGTTTTCTTATCCGTAAAACAAAGGGTGGAGAGTGGAAAGGAACATAAAATAAAATAAGAATAACAGCTCTAAAAGAGAAATAAATAAAATAAAGAGAGAGAGTCATGGTGCTGCCGCAGGGCACAGAGTGAGGCGTTGCTCATGGTCTCTCTGGCATGGGACCCAGTCCTAACACTTGTGTCAGCATAAGGTCTGGACGCCAAGCTCTGACTCCCAGTGCTCTGGCTCCACAGGCCTCAGCTCCTTCCTCTGCAGGGCGAGGGGTCAGTTCAGGGCATTCCCAGGGATGGCATGTGAGGCTCCTCTCCCAGAGGTGTTATTTTTGGTGAGGGGGAGGTTAATTTACTCTCCAGGACTGAGTTGGACTCGGAGGGTCCTTTTGCTGACTCTGCCTCAGTTCCCCAAGTGGGGGGGACCAATACTCAGGGTGCTGTGAGCAGCCTGGGTTGTTAGAGGGGTGGGAGGGGTGGGCACAGAAACCCTCAGGGCCTGACTCTTGTCCAGGTCACCCCGTGGGCTCCTCAAGCCCAGAATCTGGGTGTTTTCAGGAACTAAGGAGAAGTTCACGGTTGCCCTCCACAATGTCACTCCAGAAAGTATCTTCTGCAGTTGTTCTATTTAGAAGCAATCGGGGAAAAGTCAGCAGGTTTAGTAAGCGCCGTGTTAGTAATACATTCTGCATCACAACAGCCCGAATCCCACTATCGATTGATTTTTTATTGTGTTCCTTCGTATTTGAAGCCGCCATGCATTTTAAAGTAATTATTGAATGGCATCCCCGATATAGCTTAACACAAATATCATTCTAAAGGGGAGTGATTGATTTTCAATACTTTCAAGTGGCTTTCTCCCTTGTGCCTTAGGATCAGTTATAAGACGGCGTATCGGAGAGGCCTGCGAACCATGTACCGGCGGAGGTCCCAGTGCTGCCCGGGCTACTATGAGAACGGAGACTTCTGCATACGTACGTAGGGGCTGCTGCTGGCCTCCGCGTGGGGAAGGAAGGGGAGGGGACAGGACGGGGGGAGGTGAGGCTGATGTCCACGGCTCCCTAGGCAGCAGGCCTCAGCAAAGGGCTCCAGAAGTCCCTGCCTGCTGCCAGTGCTCAGAAGGAATAATGAGTTTGGTGCACATACAGTAGCAAGGGTTGGGTCATCAGATCAACCTCCTTACAGGGTGGATGAAAGCCGGTCAGTTCAAGGCGTTCACGGGGGATAGGGGAGAAGTGGCTCCTTCTGGAGTGGGCACTCTGAGGAGTGAGGGAGAAGCGCTGGGAGGCTGGCACGGTGTTAAGGTGTGCAGGTGCTCAACACGGCTTTGCTGGATGGAAGGAGAGATGGATGGGAACGTAGATGGACAGTTGGTTGGGTGGAAACGGGAAAGGGAGGAAGGAAGGCGGGGTTGTTGGATGTCAAGCCACAGTAAGAAAAGGATGGTAAATGTGAGATGGACTTTGAGGGACTGGTTCCAGGAGCTGGGAAGATTTCCGAAAAGGATTTGGAGGGCACTGGAGAAGAGGTGGGTGCATGAAAGACAAACGTTGCCTCTTTTTCCGTTTGTCTAGAGCAGCTCAAAAACACAGGTATTAGCGTCCCCCAAGAAAGACAAGAGCTGAGTTGCTGGCAGCTGCAGGCTCTCTGGGAGGGGAGCAGTGTGGTGCATTGGAGGCGCCCTGGAGCAGGAGCCTGCAGATCTGGGCTTCCCAGCTATGGGGCTTCGGGCAAGTCACTTAACCTTTCTGGGAGAATGACTGCAGGGTCCCAGTCGAGTTCTAAGGGACTCTTTCTCCACTCACCTCTGACCCAGTGAAAGGGGGCCAGTGGACTTTCCAGCAGGCGGTGGAAGGTTTCCTCTGCAGCAGGGGAATGTCAGAGGAGCCGGGAGGCCCTGATTTAATGACTGCGAAGAGATTCCACCCCCAGAGCTTCTGTCTCTTCATTTGGAGAGTGATTTTCCTTGTTAGTATTCTCTCTGCCATTCGAGTGGGTAGAGAGAGTTCACACCAGAGGGAAAATTTGGGCAGAGTGGGTGTGTTGATGTTGGGACTATGATGACAATTTTCCCTACTGTTGTTACATCTCCCCCAGTGCTGGAGAAACTCAATTCTAATTGCATTACAAGAATGAATGAAAAATGTACCCTCCAATGGGTTCTGCAGTGATGGTTTTGTAGGAAAAATACAAAGCGGTTCACCTAAAAGGCCGTTTCTCAGGAGCGGGGCAGAGGACTGAGCTAGGGCAAGGCCTTGGTCCGCATCTCACCCAGGAGGGGTTAACCAAGGAGACCCAGGTGTAGATGCGAGATCAGGACTAAGGCTTTACAGCTGCTGCTCTGTCTGCATGGAGTAGAGAGCAATCAGGCCAGCGGCAGGACGTGGGACTCAAGCCTCAGGGACAGAGTAAGCAGCCTGCCCAAGCTCACGGCATAGTGATGGACTCAGGGAAATTATGAAGGGGGTTTGGACGTCAGCACAGAGCTCCAGGAATGGATGAGCGCATTTCCTTTCTAATTTCCATTGGTGAACGGTGGCAAAGCTCTTGGAAAATGACGAGCAGGGCAGAAGTGCTAAGTGGCCTGATTGCACGGGAGGCCAGGTCTTGCTGACTGGCAAGGGCAGTTTATACTTTCTGACCTGCTCCTTACATAACCACCGGGCACCACCTTCTGGGCAGATGACCGTGGGATGGTCCACCAGGAAACCAAGCTCAAAAAGCCACTTTCAGGATGGAAGGCTTCTCCTAGGAGGGCACAGGAGAGTTCTGGCAGGGAGATGGGATGTGTGGCACCCTGGGTGCTGGTAGTGACGACACAGAATCACAGGGGCCTGGGTTTGAACCTTCGCCACTGCCAGCTGCTTCTTCTTTATCTTCATCATCTTCCCAGCACCCACCATATGCCAAGACACCATTGTGATCATTTTACATACGCGATGCATCTACTGCTCCCAATAGCCCTAGGAGGTAAGTATCCTTATTTCTCTCATTTGACAGATAGGGAAACTGAGTCACAGCTTTTTTTTTTTTTAATGTTACTGGCCCAAGATCACACACCTGGAAAGTGGCAGAACTTGGATTTGAATCCAGGCTGTCTGGCTCCAGAGTCTCTGCACTTGGATGGCTTGGGCAGGCCGCTTGTCTCTTCATGAACCCAGGCAAGGCTTCACCTCTCCGAACCTCAGTTTTCATTCATGTAAAATGGGAGTAGTAACACCTGTGCTCACCAGGCACAGAGTTGTTGAGTGTCAGTTTCCTCCTCCGTGGCACTGGTGCTCTATGTTGTTTCAGTCCTGGCTTTTATTTTAGTTGCTCAAAGAGGTCCATGGACCCTGTCCCTGGGAAAATGCATAGTACCTCTAGAAACATACCAACAACATAAAGTGCTTTGCGCACAAGGTCACTGGGTTCATGTATCCCGTGAAACCCTTACAGGCCCCTTACAGGATGCATGGTAAATAATTTCTGCCGCATGTTCACGTTACTGATGCAGCATGTACGTGTTACTTCCTACTACACAAGATGCCGGGGACCTAGGTACAGATGATGGATGGTTACTGCCCTCAAGGAGTTTGCAGCCTAATCAACAGAGGGGACTTCGGGTATACTACAGGGTATACTAGAAAGGTGTTGCAAGCCAGTATTTATTAAGCACCTACTATAGCCCACCCACATCACTGCGCTGTGAGATAGAAGAGTTAGAAATATTAATGGCCCCTGCCCTTGTGGAATGCACCTTCGTGATGGGAAGGCGGGACTAATACTCAGCAAGATCATTTCATGACAGCCCAGAGACTGGATGTGAAAAAGGCTAGACAGAGGCAGACGAGTGAGGTGGGAGAGAGTGCCGCCATCTGCTTCATGGGACTTTGAGCTCCATCTTGAGGGATGCAATGATGTCATCAGGGGTGGGTGGGAGAGGGAACCCCAACAGCAAAGGCATGGAGGTGGGCCATGAGGAGGCTGGCCAGACCCCAGAGGGCAGACCTGGGCTGTGGCGGGAGGTGTGGGTGGCTGGGTTAGGTGTATTGATTGCCTAGGGCAGCTGTTACACAGTGCCACAGGCTGGGCGGCTTGGCCAGCAGGGGCTTATCGTCTCACAGTTCTGGGGCTCAGAAGTCAGATCCAGGCGTCGGCAGGAATGCTTCCTTCTGGGGCTGAGGGAAGGGTCTGTCCCAGGCGGCCCTCCTTGCTTCTGGTGGTTTCTCGGCTGCAGCAGCAGGACTCTGATCTTCACATCAGGTGTCCTTCCCCTGTCTTCACATTCCCTTGTTATGAGCACACATGTCATAGTGGATAAGCACTCACGCTAATGACCTCATTTGAAATTGATTACCTTTTAAGACCCTATCTCCAAATAAGGGCATGCCTCAGGTGCCACGGCTTGAGACTTTACCATAGGAAATCTGGAGGGGCGGGCGTCAGCTGTTACCAGCATCCTCTTGTTCCCTCTTATATTGTGATGGGAGGAAAAGGAAGGGGCACCGACTGGCCCCATGTGGGCTTTGGACTTTGTCAGTTGCCCACGAGAGAATGGAGACCCCAGGGTGAGGGAGCTTGTGAGAGGGTGAAGAATGGCGCCAGGGCACTGGGGGCCAAGCGGGAGGCTCGTGAGCCTGGGAGCATTCAGGAGCTGGTGCCCTGCAGCCCTGTCCCCTCCCGCTTCTCCCTCCCCATCCCTCAGAGGCCTGAGAACCTCCGACTTCACCAGAACCTGCTGAGAACCCATCGAATACCAAGAGTTCTTTGAACCCTGCACAAGAATATCACCTGTGCCCGGGGCAGGAGCATGCCACCCTCCCTCCAGTCACCTTCTGGGAGCCTTGTTTCTTACAGGCTGACAGGGAGCAGGCCCAGGTGTCAAAGCCTTGCCTGACTCAACCCCCAACTTGCTGCGCAGTCTTGGGCTGGTCCTTTGCCTCTCTGGACCAGCTGTGACATAGGACGGACCATCCCTGTGTGTGGAAGGAGGAAGAGATGAAACAGGGACCCAGAGTGTCCTAGAAAGCACAGAGCTCGATGTGGATGCAGGGCGGCCCTGTTTTTGTCCTCTCTGTACAATTTCCTCTGCCTTTGGACTGCCATTCTCATCTGGGAGCTCTCCTGAAACCATCCGTACCAGAGCTTCCCACCCACCCCAGCCCAACTCCTACCTCTTGCTGCTGCCATTATCTACAGCTACAGCCGAGTCCTGGCTCACTTTGGTCATCAGGTATGAGACATTTTCTAGAGATCACTGGGAAGAAATGCCTGCCTGCCTACCTGCCCTCCTCCCTCCCTCCAAGCTTGCCTTCCTTTCTCCTTCTTTCAGGACAGAGGCATTTTTGCCTCTGCAGATGGAGCTAGTTTTAGGTCTTGAAGAAGCAGACTGTTGCTTATGTGGTAGAGTTTGAGGCATTCTGGGAAGCTCTGTTCTTTGAAAATATTAGTCCCGTATCAAACCAGATGATGCAGGGCTGAGTTATGAGCACGCGGAGTTATACTGCAATAACAGACAACGTCCAAATCGTGGTGGTTTGAAACAGTGACGTTTACTTTCTTGTTCATATTACGTGTTCACTGTGGGTTAGCTAGGGCCTGCTCCTTGTCAGCCTTACCCCAGGACCTAGGCTGATGGAGCAGTGACTCTGGCATGTTGATGGTTGCTTTGGTAGACAGAAAAGGGCTCTAGCTAGTCTTGAAGGCAGAGGGCCGGAAACATTGAGTGAGCAGAATTAGTTTCTATCAAGTCCCATACAGATGGCGGAGGTGCTCACAAATCACAATGCATCCAGACGTCTTTGGTAAGCACTTAGTAAGAGACAGGTTTTGCATGCTCGGCTCCACGGGTTCTCACACGTGAGCTCCCAAATCAGAATCGCCTGGGGGACTTGTTATACCACAGACTGCTGGGCTCCAGTCCATGAGTCTCTGATTGAGAAGATTTGAGGTGGAACCTAAGAATTTGCATTTCTAACAAGTCCCCAGGTGA